TTCCCCCCACCCCCGGGCTTCTCAGGTGACTACCTGGGTGGCAAGACAGGCCACGGCCGGCCCCTCGCATCAAGGCCACAGAGGCAGGTAGACAGGAGCTCAGCCGAGGGGCAGCACCCTCTCCTTCCCTGCCCCCCTCTTTCAGGCCCAGGGAACGCAGGCTGCCTTTTGCCTGAAATACACATGCGCCCCCACCCTCGGGGAGAGCCCCCCCAACTCTCCGTGGCCTGCACCCCAGGGCGATCGTTCTGGCAGAGGGTCTGCACACCAAGGAAGCCCGGCGCCCGCTGCAGGGGGTGGGGGTGGGGGACCCACGATCCAGCCTGGAGAGTCTGCCTTGCAGACGGATGGGCTGCAGCAGAGACCACGAGGACAGGGTTGGATCTCATGGATCGGCTCAGGGGCGGGCCGTGGACCGAACCACAATACCTGCTGAAGAGCTTATGAGGACAGGGAAACCCACACAGTGACCCTGATCGCCCTGCGTGCGCACGAGGGGCTGCGCCTCCCCTAGGCAAAGCCTGCTTCTATTGGCCAACCTTTGGCAACCTCCAAAATGCCCACATTCTCACATCAAGCCCGATAAAAGAAACGCACTGGCCTTTCGCCACACTTAGAGAGAGTGTGGGGGGGGGGTTTAAAAGTCAGCACTCAGGCAGGAGCACAGCACGGGGCAGCTTCTCCTGGCCTCCCTTCCCAATCCGTGCCCTTCCCCAAAAAGCCACCAGGCCCCGGCCGGCCGGTGGGTGGGTCCTGAATTTCTTCCTTGTCCCTCCTCCATCCGAGGGTGCTAGAAGAATGGCGGCGACTGGAAAAACAGGAAACGGCACCAAGGCGGGCAAGGAGGGAACGGCCCTCCCAGGCTGAGGGATGTACAGGCACGCACCGCTGGAATAAGGGAGTGGGGAAGCCTCAGGAGAGCAGCAGAGAAAGGGGGGGCAGGCTGGACTGGCTCGGAAACGGAGCTGAGGAAACTGCCCCTCTGTGAGTGTGGATGGCTAATTGGAGGAAGGGGGAGACAGAAAGAGGAGAAAAGCATGCATTTTGTCTAGATTCCACCACCACCACCCCCCGACAGTGAAGGCTGCCACTCCGTTGCTTCCATGGCTGCAGGTCTGGACTTCCATCCACCAAGAGCTGCATCTGGAAGCCTGGCACAGCCCTGGGGGCCACAGCCGGCCCCCGTCAGCTCAGGTGCCCTGGGAAAGGGGCCACTGAGGAGGAGACCTGACACACTCCTGAAGGCAGCCCTTGTGGCTCTTTCCCCCCCCCCCCCCCGCCCAGCGCCCCAGGCCCTAAAAAGTGAGCCGGCAGCTGAAGCCGCTGCCCCAGGCAAAAGAGGGAGTGCCCAGCCTGGCGATGATATTCGATGCTATTCCTGCCTCGGCGGCAGAGGCAGGCAGGTTGTGGCAAGGCCAGGCCCAGCTGCTCCCAGGTGGTGCAACGGCAGGACAGGTTTCCCAAGTGCCCCAGCAGCGTGGAAGGCCCGGCAGAGGCTAAAGCCGCTTATTTCCGAGGAGGAGGAGCAGGAGGGATCCCCTGTCAGATGCACTTTATATCAACTGGGAGAAACAACCCACGATGCCGAGCCTTCTCTATGCCATGGTCATCATTTGGCAAACACTGCCCCCCCAGCTCTTCCTCTCCCCCCCCCCAGCCTCTCTCCACTGCAAAACCTTATGCAGGAAACTCTTGCCTTCTGTTTGTTCCAATTGGCGTGGGGGGGCCCTACAGAAATGCTCGTGCCTGCATAGAAGGGAGCAGCACCCTCCCTCGGGTTACCCATCTGCGGGTGTCCAACCTCCATTTCTCCCACCTCTCGCATCGGCCACTTGCACATCCTTGCACACTTCACAATCTCACGGCAGCCACCGTGACAGAAGACACGCAACACAAAGTTCCTCACACAACCTTGCTTGGAAGTGATGTTCAGAGCATTGCACAAGATGAGTGAAGCCCGTAGCCCCCCCTCCCATCACCACCACCCCCACTTCATCAGGGCTGCTGTTTAGCAGCATAAGCTGCCAAGTCACAATTGGGTAGCCCTGAAATGACCCTGAGGGCCCCCCAAACCCAGCATTGGGGAGCAGGCCCTTCCGCCGGTCCTTCCGGGCCACAGCGAGGTCCTGGAGCGTCTGCTTAGAGGGGCTGCACAGCACCCAGAGCAGGAAAACGCCGGAAGCCTCTTGCAAAAAAAGAGAGCCCCAGTGACGTTGAGTCAGCATTACCCAGAGTGCACGGTGGCACACTTCCCAGAACCCTTTGAGGTGTACTCTCCATCGGCTAGTAGTGAAAAGGGTTCTACTGCCCTTCCCTGATTCACCTCCGGAGCCTCAGCTTGCAACATTAGTATTTTTAAAAGCGAACACAGTGGTGTTACAGGGAGCCCAGCAATCTGTCCTATGGCTTGCTGGATGCAAAATGGGCATCTTGCGTTACTTGCTAACACGTCACCGATGGCTGCAATTCTTAACACCGTGAGCCACGACTAGAAAAGGCCCATTAGATCCATGGGCACATAACAGGGGAACTGACTCACTAAACCCCCAGTGACTCCATGAGCCTCGTCTAGTTGCCACCAACCACCCTAAGAAACCTCAAGCAGTTACTTTTGATTTGTTTTAGCCAAAAATTAACGCAAACCCAGTAAAAGTAGCAAACCAACCAACTCCTGGCACCCAAACACATCACGGGTGAGAATAACAATCGCAAAAAAAAAAGAAACTAAAAACAAAAATATTGTGGTACCTTCAGAACTAACCAGTTTATGTCGGCCTGAGCATCTGTAGATTATCATCTACTTCCTCTGACACACAAAGGGAAACATTTAGCTACAGATTTATCAATCCACAGCTAAATATTTTATTCCAGGGGTCTAAACAAAGACATATGTTTTTATTTTTGCTTTTGTTTTGCTTTTCTCTCCCACGTTGAAACAGACTAACCTGCCTCCCTATCTGAAAACTCTAACTTGTTGGCTTAGTTTTTTACAGACCTAAAAAAATAAATGGATCTTCCTTTTCTTCTCCAACAAAGTTTCTCAGCTGCTGTTACTTGAAAGCTGTTATTTCCAAATTCTGTGTTTTTTTTAAACCACCACTGCCTCTTAACCAGCATCCTTTCTTGCAAAATACACACGGAAGGTCCCTGATTAAAGTTCTCTGTGTGTGTGTGTGTCTGTGCCTCACTCCCACAAACATGCATGCAGAGAAGCCAAGAGGTCCCTGATTAAAGTTCTCTGTGTGTGTCTGTGTGTCTGTGCCTCAGTCCCACAAGCACGCATGCAGAGAAGCCAAGGGCGCCTGCAGAGCCCCTACAGCAGAAGCAGCCCCCCCCGCCCCCCGCTTCCCCTTTAGGGCCAGGGGCTGAAGGGAAGGCATCATCATCGTCCTGGGATTCCTGAGTTCTGCAACGGTCAGGTTTTGAGTCCGAGTTTCCTCATTCTCGGAGGGGTGAGGAACATCAGCTTCCTCTTAGGGCCACCTCTCGTTTGGGGAGGGGAGAGAAAACGGTCTCAGGGGGAAGGCAGATCATTCCAAGGGTTGCCACGATACCCAGAGTGGGGAATGGGAGGGCTCCTCTGGCCCTCTGAACAGTCCTGGTGCTCAACAGTGCCCAGACAGGAAGGGGAAGGTGAGCAGCATCAACCCCGATGCCAGTTCCTTGCCCCCAAATAACCTGAGCAGGAGGAACAACATCAAAAACTTAAGCACTTTGAACAAAACAAGGGAGGGCCGGGTGGGTGGATGTCCTCGGCAGAAGAGAACAGCAGGCACAGGCTCCTTTTAAAAAGCACCAGGTAAAAATGGGGGTGGGGTGAGGGGGGGTCTGCCCCTCCTCTTTTCTGACTAATTTTCCAAGAAGGCAAGCTTGCACATAAGGAGGGGGTGGGGGAGGAGCAGCACCTGGAAGGGCTGACAAGAGCCTTCAAAAGCCGGAAGGAGTGGGGAGGGAGCACAACAGCAGCCTTTGCCCATACAAGGGGTGGATTCGAAGGACCGGCCGGATCTCGACAGAACTTGGGAATGCAAAAGCGTTGCTGGGAAAGGGCCTGGAGACATCTGGCTCCTGCTCCCCCTCCACACACACACTGTCGCCTACCAGAAAGGGCAACAGCCCTTTTCACAGCCCCAAGCACCCCACATGATCCCCCTTCCTTGTCCCCTGTCTATCTCTCACAAAAGGAGGCTTCTCCCCCCCCTCTTCCTACATACTCCCCAAATTCCAGGCTTATAAGCTAAGAGCATTTCATGGGGGTGGGAGAGAAGTGGGGGTACTGCCGAAACGAGACCCCAAGAAGAGCACAGTGCAGGAGGAGCAGGTATGGCCAAGAAGCCGGGCTCTTTCCTCCTGACTTTCAAAAAATAACATTATAAGAGTGATTGGGGGGGGCAGGAAACTTGGCTGGGCTAGAAGCCTTTGTTTTCTGCAAACAGGCCAGCCAGCCAGCCAGGCGGGGTGGGGGTGGGGGGGCTGCCGGCCGATCTTTCAGGCTCTCAGGCTTTGGCATCACATCTGCAGCTGCACAGAGGAAGGTGGCGCTGCCCAAGGCAGGCGGCTGTGCCCCCTCAATGCCAGGCAGGCAGGGTGGTGTACTGCGTAGAGTTGGAAAACAGCTCTGGGGTCAAATCCTGGGTTCCAATCCGCCTTCAGCTGTGACACTCACTGGGTAACTTGGGCTGACTCTCTGTTTGCCCAACCTCCCAGCGATATTCTGGGGGGGGGGGGGGGG